CCCCTCCTCCTTGTTATGAAGCTTCTAACATTGCTGGACCCAATTAGAATGGGTACCAAAAGCATTTTTAAATTGTTCCCTTGTGCAGGAAGTCAAAGGCATATGGTATCTCGATAGTGGATGCTCAAGGCACATGATCGGAGACAAATCCCTCCTCATCGACTACAAAGAAGAAAGAGGCCCTTGACTTTTGGAGGTAACAGCAAAATGGGGCCGCTGAAAGAAGAAATCGAACAATCATTAAGGCTGCTCAATCAATGCTAAAAAGAGTCCCATCTCCCTACCAATTTCTGGGGTGAAGCTGTCAACACCGCTTGTTTCACTCAAAATCGGTCATTGATCGTTAAAAGGTTCAAGAAGACAGCTTACGAACTTTTCCATGGCAGGAAGCCCTCTATCAGCTTTCTACATATCTTTGGTTGCACATGTTATATTCTCAACAACCATGATCAACTAGGAAAGTTCGATCTCAAAGCTGATGAAGGAATCTTTCTTGAATATTCTTTAGTGTCCAAAGCCTTTAGAGTATTGAACAAACACCGACAAACGATAGAAGAAACTATTCATGTCACATTTGATGAATCTCAATCAGCTAATTCTAAACCCATCATAAATGATGATGAAGAATTAGAAAACTGGATGTTTTCTCATTATGGACAACCTGAAGCTTCCTTCAGCGTTCCTCTCAACACTGAAGCCCCAGAAGCTGAAGATGATCCATTAACAATTCCAGTTGCAGCTAATCACACCAACGTGTCTTCTTTACAGATCGTAGTTGTGCCCATTAGTTGTGTTCCTCCTTCTACTTTAAACACTGATCAATCAGTGAATGAAATACCTTCAGCATCTGAACCTGTATTAGTCGCTGAATCTGAGGCTCACTTAGAAATTGTTCCAATCGCTGAAGAATCTGCAACTGAAGCCTCATCATCTGTTCCTGGACATCTATGCTCAGATGATAATCTTCCACTAGCTCAGCGATGGACTAAAGACCATCCTATTCATCAAATTTTTGGTGATCCAGGTGCAGGTAATCAGACTCATCGTGGTCTAGGTAATATCTGTCTCTTTGTCAACTTTCTTTCTTTAGTTGATCCCAAGAAGATCAATGATGCTATCTCAGACCCTAGCTGGGTCATTGCCATGCAAGAGGAGCTCATTGAGTTTGATAGGAACAAATTCTGGTACCTTGTCCCACGTCCATCTGACAAAACAATGATAGGCACCAAATGGGTCTATCGCAACAAGTTAGATGAAGAATGTGTGGTAACCCATAGAAAGGCTCGACTTGTTGCTTAGGGTTATAGACAAGAAGATGAGATCGATTATGACGAGACCTATGCACCAGTGGCTAGACTCGAAGCAATTCGACTCTTTCTAGCCTATGTTTCCCATAGAGACTTCAAAGTCTACCAAATGGATGTAAAGAGCGCTTTCCTTAATGGAAAACTTCAAGAGGAAGTTTATGTTGAACAACCTCCACAGTTTCTTGACCCTAAGTATCCAGACCATGTCTATCGTTTGGATAAAGCTCTTTATGGGTTAAAATAGGCTCCTCGTGCCTGGTATGATACCCTCTCCTCATTTCTCATCTCTGAGAAATTCGTTGGTGGAAAGATTGACTAGACCTTATTTCTTCGGAAAGTTAATGGCCATATCATTCTAGTCCAAATATATTTCGATGACATTATTTTTGGTTCTACTAATCCCTCTTTATGTTTTTGATTCGTTGATCACATGAAGAAAGAATACCAGATGAGTATGATGGGAGAACTAACCTTCTTTTTAGGTCTCCAGATCAAGCATTCAGATAAAGACATCTTTATTAGTCAGAGTAAGTATGTCCGTGATATGCTGAAAAAGTTTGATCTCTCTAACAACTCATCTATGAAGACTCCTATGGCTCCTTCACTCTCTCTCAACAAGGATTCAAATGAAAAGCCTGTAAATATAACTGTTTATAAAGGAATGATCGGCTCTCTGCTGTGTCTCACAGCTAGTTGAACAGATATCATGTATTCTACTTGCCTATATGCACGATATCAATATGAACCTAAGGAATCCCATCTGATCGCTGTAAATCGCATTTTCAGATACTTGAAGGGAACTCCTAACTTGGGTCTCTAGTACCGTTAAGGATTCAGGTTTTGACCTAATAGGTTATTCGGATAGTGATTTTACAGATTGCAATATCGATAGGAAAAGCACCTCTGGAGGCTATCAGCTTCTAGGTGGAAAGTTGGTGAGCTGGATAAGTAAGAAACAAAACTCAGTGTTCACATCAACCGCTGAAGCTGAATACATAGCCGCTGGAAGTTGTTGTGCCCAAGTTCTTTGGATGAAAAACCAGCTGAACGACTACGATATTCATTTTTCAAAGATCCCTATCTATTGTGATAGCACTCGTGCTATTGCAATTGCAATTGCAAACAACCCTGTACTTCACTACAAGACCAAACATATAGAGATCATATATCATTTTATCAGAGATCATGTTATGGATGGTGATATTGAACTTCACTTTGTTCCCACTGATTACCAGCTCGCTGACCTTTTCACCAAGCCTCTTGATGAGACAAGATTTACCATCTTGATCAGCGAACTTGAAATGCCAAACGCTGAAGAATAATTTTCTTCAGCTATACGCATCAATCAATACGTGAAATGATTCAGTGCTCTATCTCTATCACTGAACTCTTGAGTAAATGTATCTATTCTCTCTAAGGTATGTATACTTGTTCTTTTTCTTTAAAACTAAAAATTATCACTGAAGCTTTCCTTCTTCAGTAATCAAAACGTTTTAAAAGTTTGTTTCAGTGATTGTTTCTATCGCTGAACATTTTTATGTAAGTATATCTCTTTTATACTTGTTTTTTTCTTAAAATCAAAATGATCACTAAACCTTTCTACCTTCAGTGATTCAAATGTTTTTTAAAAGATAGTTTCAGTGATTCTCTTATCACTGACACTTTTTATGAAAATATGTTCGTCTAAGATATTTCATTTCTTAAAAAAAAACCATCACTGAAGCTTTTCTTCTTCAGTGATCAAATGTTTTAAAAGGTTTTTATTTAGTGATTCTCTTATCATTGAATGTGACTCTTTAAATTTCTTAAACCTTTTTCGTTTTTGAAGAAATAGTTAATGAACCGTCTTAATGAAGACATTCTATAACTTACATCCAATCATGGATGAGAACGTGCCATATTTTTTTTCATGGCATTTCCTCAACAGTCGTATTTTCCTCTCTCCTATTTCTTTTCTCTCTCCTACTTATAAATATGAGATCTCTTCCCTCATATTTTCTTTACTCTTTCAAAATCATTTGACGAACCTCTGCCAAAAAGAACTTGCAAGCAAGAACTCTCAAAGAACGCTCGAATCCTTTGACCTTTTTCTCCAAACTCTAAGGTTGATAACTTATTCTTTAAACTTTGAACTGTTCTTTTTCCTTTTATGAAACTGTTGTTTAATATTTTAAGAACCTTGTTATCTTAAAACACAAACAGAAAGATTAATAACACATTCTCATTCTTGGTTATAATCTGAAGTTTCAAAAAAATATACTCTATTCTTCTTGAAAAATCCTAACATCTTCTTTGTAGATTTTTCAAAAGAAGTTTTATTGTTCTAAAACTTAAAAAGATCACAATCAAATCTTGGACTACCAATATAAACTGTTATTTCTTATTTCTTAACAAAAACATAAATTGGCTGCCAAGAATGTGAACTTCTTCGTTGAAGACGTTTCCTTCAAGGCCAACAACCACATTGCCTTGTTGGATATCCCTACCAACAAAACTATTTATGAGGACGCTGTTGCCTTCCTCAGGATGTTTCCTATCGCTTATGCTCTCAACCATGAATCTGTCATGGTTAGGGAGGCCCTTTAGCAAATCTGGATGACCGCTGAAGTGGTGCAAGAAACGAACAAGAACGGTCAATAGGTGGAGAAAATCAACTTCACCTTCAATCGGATGACCGTGAGCTTTGGCGTGACCACTCTCAGGCACGCTCTTTGTTTCCCCAAGGGTCCATTCGCTAGCGACCCTACGACCGAAGAAATCATTGCCTGCCTCGATGACATTGACTACCAATGGCCAATGAAGAAAGACTCCAGTGAACCTCTCAAATAGCTGTCCAAGATAGAAGAACCGCATGTATGGGGTGTGGAATTTCCTCTTCTCTCACTTCATCTAGAGTATGGGTGGAAAGACTGGCGGTCAGGATCGGCATCCAGGGTTGCTCTCATAATCGGCATCTCAGTCATCCATCGCAGATCGATCAACTTTGCTGCAGTAATCTTTGACGACCTGGCGCTCAAGATGAACATGCGTCAGAGGGAGAAAGTGGTTCCCTACACTCGCTTTCTATCGATGGTTTTCGCCAAGATCTTCTTATTTGCAAGGAAGGTAACCTTCCTGTGTACAAGCTTGGATCCAAGATTCTGGATCACAAGTTAAGGGATGGAGATGTTGCACTCTCTTCTGTGGTGCAATATTCTTAAAATCCTCCTCCTTCTTCTCCCTCCAAAGTGGTCAAGACAAGGGAACCCCACCACAACCCTCTTTCAAACGCCCATCTCAACCAACTCTTGGTTCTCTTACGAGGACCAAGAAGGCCAAAAAGGGGACAACCACGTCTCTAGTTGTGACCTCTCAAAATGTCTCAGCTATTGAAAAAAGCCTTACCCCGAGGAAATTTCAGTCAACCTTCCTAGCTCTTCAGTGATATATGAAATCACTGTCGTACAAGTGGCTCCTCACCCAACCGCCTTAGTGACCCAAATCAGTGAATGTGAGAATATTAGCCTCGCTACCGCTGAACACCCACTTCCTTTAGTCTCAGCCATCTTCTCCTCCCCTCCTTCCTTGGTGTCTACACGTGGCTATGAATCATCAACGACTGTCCTCCCTGATGATGAGACACCCACCACTGGACCTGAGGTAGCTCCTCTCGAGGCTTCTCAACATAATGGTGCTTATCCTCACGATTGCACCATGGATCCCACTAGCGTTAATCTTTCAGATAATGCTGAAGACCCCTCAGGTACTTAATCTTCCTACCCATTTTAATGGAGCGCATGAAGCGACAATTAGCCTAGCCAGCGCTCTGACGCGGCTAGAAGAAGTGATGGTGCTCCAAATCCAGAACGTCGACCAACTCTCTGGATATTGCTCAAGAGGTTAGAGAGGGGGAGATAAGGTCTGACGCTAGACCCTCAAGTGCTGATGCCGCCACTGAACCTGTTGCTCCAGCAACCAATGAAGTTGAAGCTCCTAGAGATGAAGCTGAAGCTGAGGTTGTTAATGAAATCCCAACCTTCTATGAAGCTCCTACAGCTGAGGAAGTTGATGTCGTCCGAGTTGACGTTGAAGCTCACGGCAATCACCTTCCCATCACCTCTACAACCGATGTGGAAGAAGATGATGAAGAGGATGATGATGAAGATGGTGAGTCTTCCAACCTTCCTGACGCTAGTAGTGACCTGGACGATGATGACGATGAAGACGACTCCATGATCCAGTACCAACGACCTGATGCTGCCACGAAAGGTGTCGCCCTTAGGGATTCCGCATCCCAAGGGGAGTAAAGAGAGAATGAGGCTGCTCAAGAAAAGCACCAAAGCACCACATCGAAAGGCAAAGGTGTTACTGAAGAAGGGAATCTCAAGATTCTTTTCAAACCCCTTGGGCCCTTATATGACGAGTCCTCAAGACAAATCACCATAACATCCATGTACCATCTCTCCATCCCCTCAACTATCTGCGGTTGGCTGGAGGAATAGGTCTCTGAGAACCCAACTCCCAGCGCTCCCACCGACCAGCAGATGACTCAGCTCAGGGAGTCACTCGACCAAACTAGAGTAAAAATTTCTCTTCGTACCTCTAGTTGTGGTGAGTTCAACTTCCTGACTGAAGTTGAAAGACTCGAGGCTCTCAAGGTCGAAGAAGAACTTGAACTTCAAAAGAAACAGACTGAGGACAACTTAAAGCTGGCCAAGTCTCTAGCCGCCAAAGTTCTTCCAAAGAAAAAATCCAAAAAGACGGTGAACGATGTCCTGGCCCAAGCTTTGCTTCTCTCTATTGCAGAGGCTGAACGTGAAAAGAACCTGAAGCTGGCCGAATGTGACAAGCTCTAGAGCGAAGTATGCCTTAACAAAAGAATCAGCCCTCATCTAATTTCAAACGACAGCATCAGTGGATTGATAAAAGATGGTGGGTTGCTGATATCCATGCTCATCATCAGGGATAATCTTGAGGCGATCACTGAGTACCCTTTCTACTTGGACGAGTACGGCTACAACGAATGGCTGGAGATTCGCCAAGCCCTTCAGCACTTAAAATCTCGACATAAGCTGATTATCGAAAACATCATAAGCGAGCTGATCAATAAGATGTCTAGATATGTCGTAGTCCCTGAAAAAGCAAATGTTGAAGAAAGGTGGAAGAAGAAAAACACTTTCAAGTCCTAATGACGGACCATCCCCAAGGAACTAACATGAAACAAAGTTCTCTTTAGATGAAGTCCTGAAGGCTTCGAAGAAGCCATACATTTCAATGCTGAAGTTATCACTGCCAGCGAAGGGTCCTTACATACCGAACACTGTGCATGTGAATCCTGAGTTAGGATTTATATTCCTTGACTATGATGGCGAAGTCAGATTTCAAAGAATGTCTGAGTTACATCTATGTCCAATGAACATCTCGGATATCTCAGGTTCTAGCTAGATGATGACTTCAAAGGTGAAATGATGGACCACAAGATTAGAAGAGAGTTTATACGTCGAAAGGAGCTTGGAGAAAATGTACTTGGCTTCATTAATCTGAACAACTTAGATTAGTTACTTTCTTTTGTAATTTGTTCATTCATTGTATAACCTTTTAAATTCTATGTCTAGTAACAGTGTTTAACTTATATTTTGTAAGTCTAAGACATGTACTGAACAACTTGTAATATTTCCTTTTGAAATTAATATAAGTATTTCTTGTGCATCACTGAAAAAGATCCCTGAAAAAAGAAATAGAGACACAAGTCTATGAGTTCCAGTGTTACTCTTACATTCACTGACAATCTATAAGTCAGTGAACATGTTTTCAGTTTCAGTTTCTCTTCTTTTATATTTTCTTAAACTTGTAACTTAAGAAAATTTTCAAAGTAAATATTGACTCACTGAAAAATATCCCAAAACAGTTAAAAGGCACATGTACTTTATATGTAACTTTTCCTTACTGCTATTTGATAAGGCAACTTTCTTTATGTTGCTTTGTTATCATCAAACAGGGGGAGATTGTTGATCATCTCTCTCAGTGATTTGATGATAATCCATTTTAACTTATACGAAGTATTTTTGTTTATGTCTTCCAGTTCCAGCGATCATCACTGAGTCTGTTGAGTGATCGCTGACAACATGTAATGTAAATATATCAGCAACATCAATACTTCAAGAAGACAAAACTCACACCAAAGAACCTTCAAAGAAAGTCAAAGACTGAAACTAAAGATTAGAAACTAGCGCGTTCGTGATCTGAAGCGGCATTCAGTGATTACAACCTGGTCAACATATGTGTGAAGACTGCCCAAGCCTCAGCGAATGCCGAAGAGACCTTCAGGGTTATTCCAACATTCAGCGATCAAAAGAAGCTTGTTGTGCAAGATTGCTTTTGTCTTGTCCTTCCACACACAAAGGACAAACCCATACCTTTTCTAGAGTATAGTACGGTATGGAGCCAATTAGTTGACTCTATTTCCCACCAACTCCATGAAAGGATGTTTGCTCATAAATTGGATTTTGTACTATTCACAGTAGCAAAAGACAAGTCTTTCTCTAAAGGCTTGACGTGTGTTCAAATCGTACTGGATTGCATTAAATGTGCATTTAATGCAATGAGTAAAAATAAATATGTTTTATCTCCATTCAGAGATAACTCTCTCTAACCTTAATCCTTACGTGCATACGTGAAAGAACACACACATCTAAGAACACAATACGCTTATCTTCAAAGCAAGTTAGAATCCCTTTTCAAGTATTCTAAATAGTTCTTACCTAGAAAGAACTCACTTTCTTCTTAGTCTTAAACAACAAATCTTTTCTCTTTGCTAAGAACATTTGTGTGTAACTTAGATTGTTTAGATAGGTTATCTTTACCTTATTTTTTTCGCATACAATCTTGTAAAATCTGTATTGATTCTTCTTTATCAATATATATTTAAATTTTGAAAGTTTTTTGTGTTTGTATTCATCCCCCCTTCTACAAACTGTTTCTAAATATCTTGTAGACCCTAATGGGACCAACACATATCCAACATATATACTTAATCGTCTTTAGGAGACCATTTAGTGCGTTGTGGGGGCACAATTGGCACGTATACTGCAAAACCAAATATGCATAAATGTGAAATATCAGACTCATATCTAGTTACCAACTGGTATGCATAAAATGGTTGGCTAGCAGTGGGTCTAAAGCAAATAAGCTGCATGTAATATTGCATAACCCCATGCAGAAGTGGGTAATATTGGTGCGCTTAACTAATGTCTTGGCTACCATTTGTATCATTATAGTAGTAGCTTTTGCAAGACCATTTTGTTTATGAACATGGGATACGAGATGCTCTACATCGATCCCAATAGGCATGAAATAATCATCAAATGCTTGCAATGTAAATTCTCCAATATTATCACGTCGTATAGACTTGATAGGACAATCGGGTTGGTGAACCCTCAAACGTAAATTTGTGCTAGGAATTTTGCGAATGCAACATTTCATGTGGACAATAGTGCGACATGCATCCATCATGTCAATGCGTCAACCAGAACCATAAAATAATTTAATGTCCCGCATTCTAGATGTGTATGTCCATAAATATCATCTTGTATTCATTGTAAGAATGTAATATTTTTGTATATATCTTTGACTTTTAGGATGGTCTCCTTCGTGTCTTGGCTAAGGATCAAGGTTTACAAAAGTTGTAGGTATTCGAGAGAGCATATTTTGATGATATGTTGCTTCTTGTATTGTAGAAGTCAATAGTTGCAATTTTGTTAATTGCCTCATTTTACATTTCACACGAAAGAAATGTGTCGATATGTATTTTGCAACACATAGATCATTATGTCATGACCATGGTGTCCCACATAGTCATATTAAAACATATATGTGTCATTGTCCCAAAGTTCTTTATTGACGACAAATATGATTCAATGACTAAATAATCCACTAGTTTGACACATTTATTTCTCTAATATATGTTCCTTTCATATCATTAGAGTTAATGTATATATACCCATTTCCATTCTCATAACACATTTATTTATCTAACTTGCAGTAGATTGATGAGTTTGTCTAAAATGTTATATTCCAGTTTATATTAGTTCATTAATATTTACTTATTTATAAAAGGTGAAAATGACGTTATACATCATGTCATTTTGTGAGTTGCTTGTCACAAAGATTGAGACGCTTTTGAGACAACATTTTTTGTTGAAAATCAATTATCTTCTTGTAGTCTAGTAAGTGGGTTTCACTTCACTGTATAATTAGTTTAGGAAGTACATGTTCATGAATATTCTTGGTTCTCCCTTTCAGGACGTCCCACAATCTTGGGAGTATCTAGTTAATGATATTACTTATGAAGGTTGTGACTGATGTGCATTTTCAAAAATCTCAAGGTATTTACTTGTATCTTAACAATTTATTTTTAGGGTCAATAGATTTTGATGGGCTTTAGGCATATTATTGTACCTTTCAGACAAAACTAATCTTTTCATTGGATATTCATCTATGGTACTCATGTTCTTTTGAGTTTAGGATATCGAACCTTGGATGAATTGTTTCAACCATTTACATAAATAAGGGATAATATATGGACTTTTTTTTATTCATAAGAAGAAAAAAATTATCATACACGTGAAATTTCATTATCATAACAATATTGGATTTTTGTATGTTTTTATTGATAACACTTCATCAATATTTTAGTTTGCTAGGGAAATCACTCAATCTCTTGGATTCCATGTAGTAGGGGAATCACATTGATTTCTTAAGTCCCTACAAACCTTAGGGCTATTTACACCCATTTGACAAAAATCCTTTCGATATTTTGTGATATATTTAATTTTAAAGATAACATTACTAATTATAGAGCTTTTGGCACGAGGGTGAAAAGAATATGAGTTTGACATATGAAGCCAACTATAATGTTTTAACAGATTAATAATATTTTAAGAGATTTTGTCATTAGTTAAATAAATATTGGTTTCGACATAAAGTTAAATTCAACATTTTAACATCTTAATAGTATTTTGGGAGCTTTTGGTAGAAGACCAAAATATATGGATGAGAAGTATAACTTTCAAAAATCATTTATAAGATTGAAAATTATGAGTATGAACTCATAATCAAGATAAATATTTGAACTTAATAATAATAACAATTATAATTATAATGACAAAAGATAATAATAATATTATAACTAATTGAAATGCTTAAATAAATAATGATATATCCAAAACAATAAAAAAATATGCTAACTAAATTAAAATTAGATGAGCTAAAGCCAAAATTTAAATTAACTTAGTAGGTTAATTATTAT